GATTCCTTCCGCTTTGCTCCGAGTTCGATAAAATCTGATCCTCAACAACAGGTTCCTATTCAATATATTGTCTACGGTGTCAGAAATAAACAGGGGCTCGTTAGCACACAATGTACAGCTAATTAGATAGGTAAACAAATTACATAGTTTTTAAATACCTTCTAAATGCAAACATGACAGAACTGATTTTTATCTTGTTCGGTCGCGAGTTAAATTTCATCGCTTGTTTAAGTCACCGTTAATATTGTGCCAGGTGCATATATACCTAGTATCTTTCCCGCTCTACCAAGGGACTTTAAAAAAAAAAAAGTTACGTAACGACAACCAAGGATCTTTTTAATTCTTATAAAAAATATTTACAATCCCTTCTGGGGTTTTAAAATCAGGACATTTTTTATTATCTACAATTTTAAACTTAGATTTGACAGACAACCAAAAGCTAAAAAAACGCACGTGTCTCTTTCACCAGAGCCATACAAGGAAAATGGAATATACTTGCTGTATGTCTATCATCACTTGTACATACATATATATGTAAGAAATTTCACCAGACAAAAGTTACTGACATTAATTTAAGAACTTTTCATAACTCCAAATAATTATGTTGTATTTTTATTTTTTAAAACGTGAAGAAACAAAAATCTTTGTGATTTAAATGTATAAAGCACTGTTACTTAATTGTTCCACAATTTTCACAAGACAACAAAGCTCTAGATGGACATATAACTGAACTATAAGATACTGAAAAAAAAATCACAATAAACAAACCCTTCTTCATACAAAAAAGAAAAATTGCATTTTTATGTAACAAATACAAAATAAAGGATGTTGTAACGTTTGATAGGTGCACAAACACATACCAGTGTAGAAATGTCGGCGACTGAGAAATTTATAAAACACATTATGGTGATACATAACACTAAGTAGTAAATACATAAACTTGTTCATAGAATGAATTTCCACAACCTACCCACCTACCCACCCCTGAGCTCCCTAGTATTAGTACAATATGTACAGATTTTCTTGTAACACATAGGAAGATTTGGCTCCATTCTATATCATTTATAATCCACTTGACTGAGATTATAGAGATCTTACACAAATCCTGGTATATCTCATTCTACAATTATGACAGGCAGTATTGAAACTGAAAGATTATCCAGATTAAAAAGTCAGGGAAAAACATTGTAAATCCTAACCCTTATAACCCAATACACAACATGTACCGTTATGTAGTAAATCTTTATATCTTGATTAATCTAATAAAGACACCATTTAAAACAAACACATATAAACTACCCTTTCCCATGACTTATTCTGGGTAATGCCCTTTTTTCTGTATTTTTTTAACCAGAGGTTTTAGAGAGGCCTTTAACCTCAGATACAAATGTCTGAAACTTTATAAAAACAAACATATAAATGTTCAACTATGTCTACAAATTCACTTCATATCTTCCAGGTAAATAAGCTAAATATCTAAATATGGTTTACTTAAAAAAAAATGAATTACATGTAAGAACAAGAATGCACAATAAACTTCTCTTATCTTACAACAAAAATACAGAATGGAGATTTTATTGCCCAACAAGTAGGTTAACAAACATACATGTGTAAAGCACGTGAAAGCAGATTACGTACATCACAATAATATCAATAAAGAGGCCATTATTGTACAAGAATCCTTCTAAATCAAATACCTTGTGTCTCGATCTATCAACTTGGTAATCACTAGACACTAGTCCAAAATATTTTACATTTTCTTGGCATTTTAGGGGGGGGGGGTTACGATTTTTTTTTCTTGGCACGTAAAACATCAAAATCGTAAAAAAGCTTGGAAAACATCAGATATTTCAGACAAACTAGACTCTTGTATTGATTTACAATAAACCAAACAAACTTGTTCCTCCTATGGATGCTACTTGCGATACATAAATGCAAAAAAAAAAAAATAATGATGATGCACTAAAATTCATTATCATAATGTATGTAACAAATTTACAGCGATTTTTTTTTGGGGGAGAATCCCAAGCAAAATAATTTATTATTCCTTATAAAACTTCATTGTATAAACAACTCTAATATAGCTAATTTACAGATTTAGCGATTTGTTTTTTGTCATACAAAGTTCAAAGATAACAAAATTTTCACTTTTTAATGGTTTTTCAAGGTCTAAAAATTCAAAATATTGAAATGATCATATATATTTAACTTTTTAATATTTGAATTCTAATGAACAAAAAAAATCCAGTACTCCAATTTTAAACATGAACATGTAATAGTCATAGAAAGGAATGCATGTGTATTGGGAATCTGCTATACATTTATATTCTTGAAAAATTTTTTGATTCAAATGAAAATTATACATTTATACCGATTTAGCAAAGTAAATTCACAGGACCCCAGGACTCTGCTATAGCATAGTTTTATTGTTTACAGATGAAGAGTAGTTCAAGTTATTTTAAACTCCTCTAATATTCCAGCAGTATAATATCATTAATAGAATTAATTTTAAGTAGTCAAAAAATGCATGGATTGAAATACTATTACTCTTGATAGATATTTATAGTAATAGATCATGATGTAATTCTTAACACAAATAAATACACTTATACATGACAAATACTGAACTTGATCAATAAGCTTTTGTTATGATATCGACTTGGGGACATTTTCCATTGAGATTTCTTCAAAGGAGGATCCTGAATCATTGCCATCTGAAGCCTTGTCCCCCTCCTCTTGTTTGAGGGGACTCAACTGAGGGGTGGTCATTTGTTCAGAGCTAAACCCCGAGTCCTGAAATGTGGGGGGTTCACTAGTGTCTGGTGTGCTCTGATCGCGACCCTCGTCCTCTAACAGTTTACGTGGAGTTTCCTCCCCTCTGAGGATTTCTTCACTCTGACAAATTATACCCCCTTCCTCCTCAGCCTCACTTTCACTGTCAGAGATTGGCATACCATCATCTACAGCTGTACGGCTGTAACTGGTCTCTCTGGAAACTTTGAAAGACAAAAAAATTATATCTGATAATAATGTCATAAAACATGGTAACAATTTATTAAGAAAATTAGAAATTAAGAAAAAATTCCAATAGAGGGAGGGGTCTACAGAATTTCACTAGAGCTGTGATAATTGATCCCCAACAAAAGCTATCTATGTATGGAGTCTTTCCTGAAGACACCAACTTAAGAGTTCCTCAGAAAATTTTTATGAAAATGTACCTCGTAGTTTAAAATAAACTTATTTATATAACTATTGCACCTGGACAGTTATATTTTATCTTTCTACGTGAAGTGGCAGCTACGTAATTGTTTTAAATCAAAACTGCCAGGAAAACCAAATCAATTGTTTACAAGTATTCTACAAACAGGTATTCTGCTTAAAGGGGAGTAACTCCTATATAGTACAAAATCATAATATTGAAAACAAGTTCATGGTAGTGCAATGCCCCTGCCCTTGTCAAAATAAACTTTTATATGTGTAAGTCTCTTTTATCTGCACTAGATTAATTCCCTCAGTTGTCTAATACTTAGTACAATAATATCAGTATTCTAATACATGTACTTCGTTCAATAACATTTTATGTTGTCATAAATGATCAGCTGGGAATGAAATCCAAGTGTCAATGAACTGCTCTTGCCGAGTACATACACCTCAAGAAAGCTTTCCTGATTGACAGCGATGAACATTCATTATTAATCAAAATTGTTATCTACACACCCCCTCCACTCCTCAGAATGTAACGACAAAAATGTATTAAACTGGATATATTGATTTACAAAAAAAATTGAAAAGAAAAGCTATGAACTTTGTTATTTTCTATGCACTTTTTTAAAAGCTGGTTGTATCTGAGGTTTTATTATTTGTGAAACATGTATTATAGTATTTATGAGTTTACCCTAAAAGTAAGAAAAGGATACTGTAAGGGGTTTCAGACAATTTTTGAAATTATTGGAAGGGGGAGGTGGAAAATTCAACAACTACAAGTAGAATGAAATATAACATAAATCAACCCAAAATATCAAAAAGATGCATTTGAGGCAAATCCTAATATTAAATTTGATTTCACCCCAGTCTGAAATAAGGACAGGCCTTGGTCCCATAAAACTTAGACAATCTCACTTTTAATCTTTCTCACTTTACCAAAGGAATTAATAGTGGAAAAAAGAGACTGAGATCAAAAGTGAGCTCGTCTAAGTTTAGTAGCTCCAGGCCAGGACTCCCTATGTAATGTATAAAAACTCCACTTTTACCCACAGTGCCCTTACCTGACACACTCTCATCTACAGAACTATCATCTTCATCATCTCCATCTTCTGCTTCATCATTATCTTCCTGCACCTCAGGGACATAGAATTCATTCTGACGAGCCAGTGGAGCAATGAAATATATGGAGCCCCCATCATATACCTCTAAATAGGGATGAGCACATAACTTACGCTCCTAAAAAAATAAGAAAACTTATTACATTTTCCTTTTCTTTAAAAGTAAAATCTTGAAATCTTTCTCCACAATACCAAAACATACTCAGAAATACTTTAATAATCCTTTCTTCTCTGACAAGTTTTATTCGAAAAAAATGTAAGAACATTTATCTGAGTCTCAGAGATTTATTAATTTTGACTGTCCTGTAAATTAGAATGTTCTTCCGCAGGGCTCTTGATTCTCTAAATCTGGGGCCGATATTCGGCCCCCTTCCCAATGCCAAAAAGGTACCTTTTTTCCCAAAAGAAAGGTGTAAATTTCCCAATTTCCATAGCAAAATATTAATTGAAGAATAAAAGTCCATGAAACTTAATCGCAAAAAAAAACCCAAACAAAACACACATGCAAATGAAAGTGAAACTGTATTACCATTTTATTAGTTTGCACCAAATGCATTCGTAAACTGGTTCAGGGAACCAGGTTATTGTTTTTACAAAAATGTGTACTAACTATGAGTGCAGAGTATCTTGTCATGTAGTTTCGACACAAAACATTATTTTGGTTTCAAAAATAGACATTTCATTTAAACATCAGTAAGCTGCACCTAGAAAAATACCCACGCTTCGGCATGTTCAGTCTCGCGCTGTATTGGTAAGCAAAGTTGTCCATGTGATCGAGGAAATTCGGGATGATGTAACCAGCGAGTGTCGCTCAGTAAGACATATAACCGCAATATCAACACTCAAAGATAGTAATGAAAAAGCTAATGTACTTTCACAATTAGCCTACGTACCCATGTTTGTTCTGTTTAACTGTTTATTCAAAACCAGAATAAAATTGATGACAAAATGCTAGAAAAGGAAAATTTGAGGATTTTTTTTAATGACTTTTGGTTATCCAACTTTTCCCAAAATGACGATAATTTTCCCAATTTGAACAGCCCCGGCCCCAGTCCCAAAAAGTGGTGTGAGAGCCCTGCTTCCAGAAACAATTCATGCAAATCATTGATAAAATTGAAGTTTTACAGAGTCTGAGAATCAATCCTAACCTTCACATAATCATTCATTCTTGGGTAGACCCTCCATACTGCAATAAGAATGGAGAGGGCACTTCTGTACGGGAAAGTCGTGTTGACAGCGTATGACACAGAGGGAAGCTTGGCTATCTTATAACCAAACTTCAATAGTTGTTCCTGTACAGCTTCGTCAATCTCAGATCCATCTTCAGAGAGAATCGAGCCAACAACATAACGTAATTTCTCCCCTTCTACCTAAAAGATATAAATTAGGCTGTCAACTGAACTGAAGGTATTTTTTTATATCAAAATCTAAGACATGTTCAAGAAGTCATTATTTTGTCAAAGTATGCAATCAAAAGAGTGAAAAGACCATACTTTTCAAGTCTTAGCTGAAATTTTTTTTACAAAAAATGATTTTTTTTGGTTGAGTTTTTGAATAATCTTGACTGTCTGGTCATTGGTCAATGCACATTGAGGGGTCGACTGTTGTAAACAAGATATTTATTTATGTGTTGTTCACTGAGAATGCCTAAATTACAGTACATGAATTAATAGGCGCATATGACATCTCATGATCTGCACTTTCATTTTCATATATTCATTCCTTCTGGCAATGACGTCACACACAGATTTACAAATATTTAATTTTATGAATTATGGTTCAAACGGTACCTGGTGAAAACGGCACCTAGTGAAAACGGCACTTGGATTATGCAAAATGGCACTTGGTCAAAACGGCACTTAGTCAAAACGGCACTTGGTCAAAATGGCACTTATAGAAAAAAAGCATAATTATATGCAATGATAATTTGATATATGGATTGATATATATTTGTGTGAGTATATATACATGTAAACATATATAATTTTTGTTTTCTGTGAGGGTCCATTTATTTCCCAAGAAAACAATTCAAATTATGTATACACTGAAATAAGTTATGAAATCTATGTGATATATACTGTATATAAAATTAAATTATTATGAACCTATGCGCATACATACTTTTCTCCACAGATTCATACATTTAAATACCAAATTTGAAATGATTTTTTTTTAAATTAATTCTATTCCTTGAAATATCAGTATCTTCATCTTTTAGTCTCCTTCATTTTTAAATTAATGAAATAACAGCATAGTTTTGAAATATAACATTATTTTCAAAAACAAGATTATAAACAATAACAGCATCATTTTATCATCTAAATAAATTATTTGTAACAATATCAATATTTACTATCATATTTAATCAATATTATTTAATAGAAATAAATTGATATTCTTCAGTTATAAAAAAAACCCAACAAATAAATGTTTTTGTTCTTCTATGTACAGGTTTCATATTGTTAAAAAAAAAAAAACTAATCGTAAATGTTGTATGGCTTAAATTTAAAGATTTTATGTACAGTTTAGAGAGGAAAATCTAAGTTTCAATCTCTTTGACACATTGTCAAGAAATACATAATAGTAACTGTATATGATTGCAAATTGACGATCAACAGATTATTGAGGGGGAGGTGTGAAAAAGTCTTTTGTTTCTTATTCCTACAAGTGTATTCTAAGTAAACATACTCTAACTGGCTTCTAATATTAGTCAACTGTGACTGGCAACCCCCAAAACAGAGTAGTATAGTACATATTTGCAATACTATAATTTTTTAAATTTCAAAGGATCATAATAATATAATTTGGATTTGATCTCTTTGTAGAAAATATTTAAAGAAGTACATTTAAAAAAATCTAACCACTGTACAAAAGTACAATAATTTTCAGATGAATTAGTCTATTTTTTTCCCCCTAATATATTTTAAAAACATTTTTATCAATAATAATATACACATTTATTACTGTAAATTTAATATAAAGATCCATTTTCTGTATAAACAATAGCAAATTATCAAAATTAAAAAGTGCCGTTTTGACTTTTCTGAAGTGCCGTTTTGACTACTCTCAAGTGCCGTTTTGCATATTTCCTAAGTGCCGTTTTCACCAGGTGCCGTTTTGACTTGTACCCAATTTTATAATGCCCCCCCCCCCTTATTTGCATTAAGTAAAATAGGGCTATATGTGATGCTCAATAATCGCAGCCTCACCACTTTCGGGTCATCATAATAGATGCCTATGGTTTTGTAGCCCTGAGGGGTCAGTCCGCAGACTTCTGTAAACACAGGGCCGCACTCCTTGTATGGACCGCGGCAGAATTTGTAGGCAATGACAGCCTCTCCTAGAGGGGGTTTCCCTGTCTTCACGTCAATCGTCTCAAACAAGCCTGACAACAGCAACAGGGCCAGGAACGTCAGTATCAGACATAAACCCAAAACTCCGATCCCAGCGATCAGCAGCAGTTCAGCCATTGTTTTGGTTTTTCGATTTCTCTCTAGACTGATCGTAGGATCAAGAATAATACAAGAAGATCCCAAGAACTATCAACTGGTTCCCATCAGTCGACTGCAAACGGTTAATTTCGGGCCTTTCCGTAATAGGTCGGAAAAATCAACGTTTTACCTCTTGTCGGAAAGGTCTGAGAAGTTGCGATCTCAGTCGTCTCCATACGGAACAGAACGAGTCTTGCTGACTACTACTGATCTCAGGGAGGATAACTCTAACTTTCTTTAAAAAAATAATGAGAATCAACGATTATTTGTTGAATATGCATAAACTCCATTTTATCCAAGTATATTTTAAAGATTTTGCTAATAAATTCTGGTTGCTATTTTCCATAAAGTTGTATTTTTACAATTTGAAAATAAAAAAAAAATGTCTGTAAATTTCAATTTGAATAATTGAATTGTATTTTCATGATTTTGTAAATTTTTATCAATACTTTGGTAGTAGGTTTTATCTCCTTGTTGTCATGCCTGTGATTATTCAAAAAGATTTTTTTTCATTAGCACGGAACAATAATGATATGGGTTTTTATAATAAAAAAAATAATGTTTAGGAAATATATCAATAAAATTTTGTATCTTTTCAATGTACATATCTAAATGAAAGGAAGACTATTCAGTTAGTTTAGATTACAAAATAATTGGCGAAGTTGATATGAAAATTTTGAAACTGATCAAGGATTTATGAGTGTGTAACTTGGAATATTTATGTTTAGAATAAAATACGAGAATAACGATCGAATCGTTATTAATCTGAAAAGTGATGAAAAAATCAAATGAAGAGCAAATACGGATCTCTAAAAATGTTAGAAATGGGATCAGTAGCATATAGTGTCACGGAATACTAAACGGTTGAGCACCTGCTGGCAAAATCCACACAGACCCCCCCCCCCCCCCGGGTGTTCCGTACCCCAAGGGTTCTTTGACTTTTTTAAAACACGAAATATGTCAGAGAAAAATATTTTACTTTAAAAAATTCAAAAACCTTGGGGTACGGAACAACTAGGGGGGGGGGGTGGTCCTGTCGCCAAGCACCTGTGGAAATCGGTAGATAAATTTAGCATCATCTTCGCTAGCCAAGGGTTTCTGATACGCTACTCTCATAAACCCTTGGCCTATGGTGTTATAGAAATTGGGATTTTTTTCCAGAGTTCTGATTGGATTTCAGTACACCAAGGTCGACCAATCAGCAATTGTTTTTTGTAAATGAAGATATTTGCGTTCGGGATACATCTTCACTCTTTAATCTCGGAAATGAAAAACGCAAGTAAACAACGATCCGTAAGATAACATTCAATTCTATGTGTTATTCAATATCTTCTAAATATGTGATTAAGAATCTAATTGAAGCTTCAGATTTGGTCTATAAATAATGAATAAATATAACTCAATTATTGCTTCTCAATTATTCTTGAAAAAACTTTGTTTTAATTTTTTTAAAACATGTTTCTTTATTTCTGGCGATGACGCAATCTGTGCATACCTGATAGATTCGAGATCACGTGACGGAAAACAATCGCGTCTTTTGACTTCACCGTATGCCAAGGGTTTATGAGGAGAGTAGCGTATCAGAAACCCTTGGCTAGCGAAGATGATTTAGCATGAAAATAATGGTTCTAACAAATATCTAGAAATCAATCAGCATTTGATCGATCTTACGAAAGATTTTTTTACTAGCAAGGCCATTGTATCATATCAAAGAAGTTGTAATAAAAAAGCAAAATGTTAACGTCTGGAGACCAAACGACGTACATGTAACATGTAATATGATATATTTGTATCATGAATTTATTTGTCAACAGCGTGCCTCGTTTTTTAAATCTTCCTATACGTCGAATATTCTCTTGCGTACATAGTCTTTAAGTGAATTGTGATTAAATAATGTTTTAAAAAGTTATAATGTATAACCTGCGCTTTGAAACGGGCAGTTTACACTTTATCGATTTCACTTGTCGACTTTCTTAGGCCTATGCTCCAATTTTGCACACGTGAGGAATTTTTATTTAAAAATAAATATATACATATCAGTATAAAAACTTTAAAAACTTCTTTGTAAATTGTTATCAGTTTGAATTAATTTATTCCTTATCATTTAATTTTCAATAATTAAATATAGAAAACAAGACAATTTCTACCTTAAAAACGTCTTCAAATTGTTCATATTTTAAACGTAACGTCAAGCGGGTTGATACGTTTTTGACATAAGTCATTGTGACGTAGGCAACCCAGGTTATACAATTTAGATTATTTCTTTTATCCAATCAAATGACGCGTTACAATCAGAATTAAATCATTGATAAATATTCACAATGAAAGCAGACGATATTTAGAAAAATTGAATTAATTACAGCTTTGTAAGTTTGGCATTAATATCCCTTTTTTGATGAAAAAGATATTAAAATATGAATCAGATAAGTTAGACGCTGTTTTGAAATATTTCATTTATAAAAGGAGGTATTGAATCTACACAGGATCTATCGCATGTGTTCCATATTAAATGTTTTTTTTTTTTTATCTATCTTTAAGGAGAACGACTTCTTTTCATGACCAACAAAATAAACATTAAGATGGCAAAGGCAGAATGTTTTTGTGCTTCAGAGTCCTTGAGTTAACTGCTTGAGTGATGAGTTATTTACAGTTATAAAGTTTGGGATGTTCTGTATGTGCCCGCGGCAGGTAAATTCCTACCATCCATATTTTAATGTGGGGGAGTGACACGAGGCAGCCATATTTGCTTATGATGACAGATGGGGGAAACTCCTAAATACCAGGCAGGTGTGGAGAAATACACGTGATATGGACTAGTTTTATATTGTCCTGATTAAAATTACTAAAATGGTGGTCAAATTTTCTGGTGCAGTTGTAATACTGCGAAGTAATTTTATGAGAATATTTATTAAGCAAATCATGTCAACTTTACTTAATGGGGCTGGTCATCTTCCACTTCTTTTAAATCAAAGATCTTTACTTTTCTAAGACTTTTCATAAGTATAATATAGGCACAAGAGAAGGGGATGTATAGGGAAATTCCGAATGAAATAATTTTTGTAATTGATGCTATTAACAAGCAAGGAAAGAAATAAACAATTAGTTTACATATTACACATATTGATCTTTTTTTAGTAAACAAGTGAATATAACAAGAAAATAAATCATCAATTAAAGTATTTTGTTGTACGCAGTCATATTTGCAGTGACTCATTTATCTTTGCATGCATTTAGAACACATAATATTACACACATCATAGAAAGAAATTTTTAAATGTTATAAACAACATAATACATAAATATTGACATTCTAAGTCACTGAAAAATGTTTGGCATGCAATGCCATTAAACATGAAAATAAAATCACACTTTTACTGTCCTCGTTTGAGTATATGAGTTCAATGTTATCTCTTTTCTTGCCCTATTATATCGACACATGCCATATTTTAATGGGATTTTGCATAATCGAAGCGTGATGGTTGGTAGAGTTGCAATGAAAATGCATATTGTTGTCATTATTTTCAGAAACGAACCTAAAACGAAATGACAAGAATGTATTTACACTTACACGCAACGATTTTAGATGGTTCGGCGGATAAACCTCGGTAGTTCGCGTGTTTACATTCAAAATTAGAAAAAGGAATTTTATGTGAAAGTCTTTTAACAATTTATGAGAAAATCCTTTAAAGATTTTCACAATGATCGTGATAATTGTTTAAATGCTTACATCAAGAAAAAGAAATAGAATAATGCCATCGGGCGATTAATTTGACGCGCTATGAATATTTTTTTAAATTAAAAAAAGATTAATTCTTATATTTTTCGCTGAAACTGACTTTCAGTGTTTTAGTGAGAATTAAGTGAACCCTATCAAAAACCATCACTATATGCATATATAGTAAATAAGTAAATAAAAAACACGTGTTTAAAGGGTTACCTGTTTAAAGCAATTCAAAGTCAATACGATCTGCATGCATGAAATACAGAACGAATCAGCGTTGCTGAAGGGAAGCTGGGAGGCACATAAGCTGTCTGTCATTTGTTGATAAATTTTCATTATTTACTTATTTAGAGAGAGGCACACTTTCCAAGTTTCCTCTGAACTTTTCCCCCTCTGCCAATTATCACATGCCCCTTGGGCCTGCATTAACCTAACGACTTCAGACGATCCAGGACAAATGTTGTAATTAATGAAAAACAGCATGTACATGAATTCTCAGTCACATATACACCTGTACATTTATGGGGAAAATGTTCATAATAAACAACAATTTATACTTGTACATTTATCATTCTGATTTTTTTTCTTTTGAAAACGGATCCCGCATAATCTAGCATGGAGGTCTTTTGACTCTGAAAATGATCAAATTCTGAATCAAATTAAATAAGTCGGCAAAGGCCTCTCATTTGTGCATTTCTATTTATTTAATTTGCCAATATAAGGTAACTAAATGTTACTGTTGTTTAATTCGTATACATGTATATTTTATTTTTCTGCAAATGTTACATTAAAAATTGAAGTAAAAAATTCAAATGAATAAGTAAATTTACAAAATTTGAATTATAATAATAATAATAAAAAAATAATAAAAAAGTTCGGTAAATGCATTTCTCTTCCTTTCTAGGAGAATTCTTTAAAGGGAGCGGCGATTTACAAGTAATACTTAAAAAAAAAACAGGTTTATAACACAATTTATTATTCTAAACAGTAAACAATATCATGCAAGAAACCTGAGAGTTTTATTGCTACCGATTTAGATATACGATAAAGCATTATCTTTGTGTCCATACGATACAGAAATATCATTTTCTAATGGAGTTCCTTTCTACATTATAATATTGCGTAGGACGATTTCATAATGTTGGATATTTAAAATTTCAGAGTTACGTATCTCTGTGGAATTTTTTAAAAAAGTACAAAAATCTGTAAACATCATGATCACCTCCGAGTCAATAGTTTTTACATGTATATATATTGTATACAGGTATGTTTCATTATACATGTACCCATAATCCCCACGTGTACTGTGTAATTATACAG